CCTGGCCCTCACCACTTCCCCCTCAGAAACTCTGTTTTAGCCACGCCCATCTGTCATTATGCCCCAAGGTACTCCATTTTTCCCTGCCTTGAGCCTTTGCTCACGCTATTATGAATTCTGCATGGATGCCCTCTTCCGTTCCCTTCACCTATCGAACACTCCAGGGTATGGCCCAGAGGCCTTATCTGACCACCTAGCTACACCTATGACCTATTTCTTGCCTCCCTCTGCCCTTGTCTGAGCCACTCATTGGCAAGCCCATAGCAGAGCCATTGAGATTTATGTCACTTTTCGATTGTGTGGTCTGAACTCCCATCTGGTGAAGACCGTGAGCCTCAGTTTCTTCATCTGTAAAATGAGGAGGCTGGACCAGATGATTTCTAAGCACTGTAATTCAATGCCTCTCTGAGTCCATATTACGCATACATGATGTGGGTAGCTCAGAGAAGGGGAGCAAGGAATGTTTGTTGAATGACTCATCACCATTTGTATGCCTTTCTCTTCTGCTTCTCACTTCTTTCCCTCAGGCAGACTTGGATTCCTTCTATTGAGCTGATGAAGGGACGATAGCCCTCACTTACCAGAAGCAGCTCTGAATCACCAGAAGTCAGGCCACAGAGCCTGCGAGAAGCTGGGGAGCTTGTGCAGGGACATCACACTCCGTGTCCCTCTCCAGGCACACGGGGCCACACGGGGCTGGGATAACCATTGCATCTCTGGGTTTCCGGGGGAAGTGGTGTGGATGGCTGATAGCATGCTGGGCCTCACAGAGACAAATCGAGGCAGAGGCGAGGGGTTGACAGGAGGCTCCTGCTTCTAGCTCTGCAGTAAATTAAACCTCAAACCGGCTCCAGCAGCAGCAGGGACGGTGCCTCCGGGTGGTTGGGTGACAAGGGGGTGGGCACTCAGTTAAGCTCTAATACAGTAACCGCAGGAGACACACTGATCTGTAGGAACAGAGGAGGGCAAGGCCCGTGGGAGCTCCTGCACCAGAAAGGCTGAGATGGAGATAAGATAGGAAGCGAAGGAGGAAAGGGCCTGGCGGGAGGAGAGATGGCCTACAAGGCCTGTCCATCCCTCTTATTTCAGATCTGCGGGCTGTGCAGAGGGAGCTGGAAAGTCGAACATCAAAAAGCCTGAGGCAATGATGGCAAAAGGGCAGAGAGGTGGAGGGAATCAGATGTGGGTTTGAGGAGCTTTCCGAGCGACCCTCGCTTTACGTAAACCCACTATATGAAAATCTATGTGAACCAGATAGAAGTGCGGGTGAGTTTCTACTTGGATCTTTCCAGTGTCCTGGTTTGTTATTAATTAGTGCCTCGTGTGATACTTTCCATCTCCCAGCCTCGCTTTCAACCATCAAATGAGGAGATTGAACTCTTGCCTCCAGCATCTTTAGTTTCTTTACACTTCATAATGTTTGATTCTCAAATTGCCACTGCTCTCCATGACTGACACACCTGCCCCAAATATGATCATTAAGAGTGATTTGTGAAGAGCTTTTTGAAACTCACTTATTGCTGAAAGCAGGCACAACTGTACACGGTAGGATTGCTACTGCCTCAGCTCAGATCAGAGCCTCGGCTCTCCGCAACCAAGAACGTCATCACTAGGATCTCTTCTATCCCCTTGAAGCAGAGTCCTTGGCTACAGGGTGACAGGTGTGAGATTGGGGGCATTGTTCAGGAACCCAGAGCCATCAAATAGTCTTAAGTTAACAATGCAAATTAGCCCTGGGCCACCAGCGCAGGGAAGACACCACTCATGACATCAAGCTATAACTGGCTTTGGGTGACCCAATACAACTTCCAAAGGCTAAAAGCTGTCGACGCATCAAGCCCAGAAAACTGGAAAGAGAAGGGGAATATACAGCTACGATGGGTGCCCCACGAGGCACGCTGACATTAAGGCAGGCCACGTGAGAGCAGCTGGGAGATAGACGGTGCTGCCACGTAGGGATGGCTGAACTTGGAAACAGAGGAGACAGGGAGATGATGCTGAGAGTCAGGAGGAAGCCCACGCCAAGGTGAGGGTGAGAGAACAAAGCCAGCAACAAAATCCACAGCTGCCGCTTATTGAATACCTGCTCTGTGCACCGTGCTAAGCACCTCCCCCGCACTGTCTCCTGTCATACTCCGATGACCCTTGTCTTACAAATGAGGGAACTGAGGCACAAAATGGTTTAACAGCCTGTCCAGTCCCACAGCTAGTACACAGAAGAGCCAGGATTTAAACCTGGTCAGTCTGATTCTAAAATCTACTCCTACTCTTTATACCACACAGTCTCCCCAAAGTAGGGATCACAGAGCCGTCATTTTTCCTTCACCTGGGGATCTTGTCTCCCTCCCATCTCCTCCCACAAACACTGTCACTCCAGCCCAGTCCCTGCCCCGCCCTGCTTCAGCTAATAACACCAACCCAACACCCCTCTCCCCCTTACTTTGGGAGGGAAAGAGTTGTGCTGGAACCTTTCTACGAACTGTCTGGGTGATGTTTAAAATCCATTGTGGGGGAGCAGCTTGAGCTTCAGATAAAGGGCCTTTGGGGTAGAAAGATCCAGAAGTCCTCTTTTCTAACAAATGCTAATCATGCCTCACACACATTGAGATATAAAAGCTGAACCAAGGGCCACTTGTTAATAAAATACCTGGTGCGCCTAAAAGACGGCATTAGAAAGATGTCCCAAAGCTCTGTAATGTGGAACAAAGATATCCATTTCCTTTATTCCCTGATTCATCTGGCTTAATATTTTAGATGTATCGACTCTACTAAACCAGGCTGCATGGGTCATTAGGAGAGGAAATTTACATCGACTAATGACCCCCATCTACAACGGACAATCTGTGCTCTCTGCTCTGCCAGGGAAGCCCTGAAGAACCAAAGAAAAGGAAGGAGGAGCCGTTTTTGCAAAGTATAGGCTACCGAATTGTTTAGAAATCCAGACCCTTGTCTGAGACCTGCCCTCCTGGACAAAGAAACGCTACAGACTGGACTAGGAGATTCACAGGAAGTCATGGCTGGCTTTTCTAAATTCACTTGGCGATCCTGAGAAATCTGAACCTTCCTTTCATTGTCCTAGAATTTGACCTCTATGACAACTAGGATTTCTGTCTGTTCCCTGCTGAATCCCTGTTGCCTAGAATGGAGTATAACAGGCGCTCACTAAATCTTTCCTGACTGACCAAGTGAATAAATGAATGACTCTGTCAGGTACCTGTTCCCCCATGCTCTCTTCTGGAGGAATCTGTCCATGGATCTCACTGGCCTCAGCTGCCCTGTTCTGTACGGTAGGAACCCACTCTCAATCTCTAGGAGTGGGCACTCTCCCCAAGGGTAATTATTACGCCATCTGGCCAACACTTGTGACTCTTGAGATGAGCCACGGCAAGATGAGCTGGACCAGTCAGATCTTCTACCTTGGGAATCCAGACCAAGAGGCACTGAGGGAAGCTGCCATTGATGTGCATGCTGAAGAGAGACTGTAAGCCTCCTGAGGGCAAAGGACCATGTCTACCTTGTTTCCTACATTGTTTCCAGTGTATGACATCCTGGATCTTGCCTGAAATGGAGTAAATGCTCAATGAAAGTTTCCAGAATGAATAAACAAATTGTATATTGGGCCTGGATGGCCATTATGGGACAGGTGTATGATGAATAAGCCAGGGAAACCACGCTGGCAGAGAGGGAGGAGCAGGGATCCAATACCACGAGAGCATTAAAGCAGCTGCGAGACAGCGAGACAGCCGCTGTGTCCCTCCCTTCCTGCCCTCTCTGGATCCTTACGATATCCTACCTATTGCACCTGGGCCAGTGTGAATGCTGCTTCTTTTGCAATACTGGTCGCTCAGATTAGAGCGTTGCTGGATCCACAGATAGAAGACCAGACGTCTGACATATACTTGAGCAAGTTGTTCTTTTATTTAGTTCTGTTTGTTTTTGCCAATGAGTGTTGTTAAAGGTTAACATGGACTAGAAAGGGAGGAGATGGGGACTCCAAAGTCTTAGGGAATAGATGCTAGCATCTCTCTGGCTCCTCCCCTTCCCTCTGAACTGGAGTTGTTCATTTCCAGCTTAGCTACAAGTCACCAGCCCACTAACTTGGAAGCTCATCCTGTAAGGCTGTCAAGGTAATACCAGCAGAGAATCCCAGGGGAGGTGGAGGGGATTGGGCACTGGACTCACAGGGTGACGATGCGAGTTGAGGATTCAGGACTTGCTCAGCCCATTGACTAGCCCTGAGGTTGGGGAAGTTACCCAATGTTTCTGAGCTTGTTTCTTTTGTAAAGTGGGGACAATAACATTTCACTCTCAGGTTGTTTGGAGAATTAAAAGCAATAACCAGCACATAGCAGGGGCTAAGCGTGACTTGAATGACCTACTATGTCTCTTTGTAAAGCACTGCATCTTACAGAAAGGTTTCCTATATTTTAAGTCATTTAAATCTCACAATAACTTGCAAGATTTGCAAAGTAGAGCCTAGCATTCCCACTTTACAGATGAAGAAACTGAGGTTAAATAGGATAAGTGACTTATCCAAGGTTACCCACAGATCGAGTGGCCGAACTCCATCCTAAGTCTCATTTTCTTCTCACAATGCTGCCCTCAGCACAAGAAAGCAAGACAGGCAATCAGATGTGTAATGACTAAGCTACCCTTGGGCTGGCCATATCTTTCCTTTCTTAATCACACATAAGGTTTCATTCAGGGATTTGTATACAAAATGTCCAGAAGATGAATGAATCAATATATGAAGGAATGAATGAGTGGGTAAATGATGAATGAATGAATGAGTTTCCCATCTTAATTCTACTCTACACATGATTTACAGCAAAACCTGGGCATCTCATCCAGACTGAGCCCTCTAGGACATCCTGCTGCATGTTTCTCTCCCTCTCTTGGGAATATCTACATCATAGGCCTGGCGATGGGTGCAGTTCACGCCACCAGCGCCTCCTCTGCCAGCGAGGGAAGCAGAGGGCAGCCCTGCCCATTCTACGTACTGGTTTCTGCAGTCTCGTACTCGCTGTCTCTGAGAAGCTCAAAGATGTCCACTTCGACCTTGGCCTTGCCCAGCCTCTCAGGAGCGCGGTTGATGCGGTTCTTGGCCAGGGTGATGGAGAGCCGCTCCCCTCTGCTGCACTCCATGGGGTCATCCAAGATAGCAGCTGTAGGCAGGCAACCACATGGAGATAGTTGGTACCCTCTACTGTTACCCCTCCTCCTTCTCCAGTCTCCTCCCACTATCACCTTCCTCTTCCAGGCAGCTCCCGGCATCCCCCTCCACCCTGCCATCCTCAGGACTATCCCCAAAGCAAGTCCTTCACATGCTAAGGGTCTCGGTTTGTAGCCAGGCACAGCAGTGAATTCTAACGTGGATATCCACTTCGGGAACCCTGTAATGCCACGGCAGGCCACGAGGGGTCTATCTGGACAAGGTCCCTAGGCCCAGGCACGGTGATACCCTTGGATATACATCTGCATGCACACACAGGCACATGTGTGCAAAGGAAGGGAGATAGTGGCTGTCCTTCGAAAATGGTATTCTGGGTATATGAGAGGTGAGAGAGGGTTAAAGAAGGCCAGGTTTGAGAGGGAGAGCTCCAGTATTAAGGAGCAGTGGCAGGATACTGCTGAATGCTGGCTCTCCAGGCTATGACACCGGTGAGACATGTCGCCTGGTGAGCCATGTAATTTCTCTGGACTTCTTTTCCCCACTGAACGCTAGGAATGGTAAGACAACCTCAGGGGGCTGGTGTGGGGATTCAGTAAGATACATGTATGGAAGTGGCACATAATACGAATTTAATCAGTGTGACTCAGTCAGTGTGAATGGTTGCAGTGGCGTAGTACCAATAGCTGCCCCACTTCTGGAAGCAGGCTTAAGGATAAGTGTTATGGTATCATAGAGAGCTGGGTTCAAATCCCTGCTCTACCCACTATTAGCTATGGGACCTCAGTTTCTTCCCTTGTAGAAAGGTGGAGACACCCTGCTCATTGGTCTTTTGTGAAGGTTATGTGAACAGTATGTGTGAAATGCTCAGCACAGTGCCTGGCACGTGGTAAACCCTCAATAAATCTAGCTACTGACACCATTCATTCTTTTGGTAGAGGAAGTTACAACATTGAAATCTCTACACCAAAAGCATACTCAAGCACTCAGAGCAGCATTATTCATAATAACCAACAAGTGGAAAACCCCAAATGCCCATCAACGGATGAATGGATAAACAAAATGTGGTATATCCACACAATGGAATATTATTTGAAAATAAAAAGGAATGAAGTACTGATACATGCCACACATGGATGAACCTTGAAAACATTATGCTAAGTGAAAGAAGCCAGACACAAAAGACTACAAGTTGGATGATTCCATTTATATGATACATCCAGAATAAGTGAATTCATAGAGAGAGAAAGCAGATTAGTGGTTGCCTAGTGGTGGCAGTGGTAGTGGAAAAGTTGGGGAGAAAGGGGAGTGACTGCTAATGCACATAGTGTTTCTTTTGGGATGACAAAAATGTTCCAAAATTGATTGTGGTGATGGATGCACAACTCTTTGAATATACTAAAAACCACTGAGTTGTATACTTTAAATGGATGAATTGTGTGGTATATGAATTATATCTCAATAAAGCTGTTACAGAAAGAAAAAAAAAAGAAATATCAAGCTTATCTTTCAGAGGTTGTAGGCTCAGAAAGGCAATGCAGAAAATGAAGTCAAAGAGATTTCACCACCATGTGGCCGTTGGATCTCTGTGGCTAGTGTACACAGAGAGACCCAGGTTCCATACCGTCTTTTCTGTATTTTGCTCCCATACCCACTGTGACCCATTTTCCAAATCAAAAACTAGGACACAGAATAATACAAAGTATTTTTTTCTGATTTGTGGATTACTTTTATGTATAGCCCTTTTGAACAATAAAAATTAGATTTCATTTACCCGGGTTGGCCATACATTGGGCAACAAAGGTTGCCCTATGCCCAAACAAGACCTAGGTAATAAGGTGGGCTTCTGGGAGTTAAGTAGCAAGATCCACAAACACCTGATGGGATTAGCCACTTGCAGGAGTGGCCAAAGGACCAGAAATGCATGATTGAAGAGCCTGGGGACACCTAAAACTCCTACCCACATGACCTTAGGGAAGCAAGACTAGAAAGAGATTATTACTCAGGAAGCAGGAACCTAAGCAATTACACTGTGCTGACCCAGAAGGAAGACTTTGGGAAAAGAAGGGAAATGGGGCGGCCTAAAGGAGATATTCTCAAATAGCGTTCCTTGCAGGACCTCTAGGCTCCTACAAGCAGCAGAGGGGGAGGCTGCCCGGGGCTCTCTAGCCCCACACCAGCTTCAACCAGCATAACTCCACATCCATCAGTTTAGATGTCGGGGTTCCACATAAGGTTTGATGTGGAAAAAAATGTTTCACTGTTAAAAACATAGTGGAAACCATTAGTCCAGCCCTAGAGCACAGAAAACAGATATCTAAAAATGTCAGGAATTGGCAGTGCTGTCCCACACAAGTCATGGGAAGGAGGCACTGGATCCACGGCACATGAGCTTCAAGTTAATAGGCACACATTTATTCAGTGACCATGACCAAGTTAGTGTAAGTACTGGTGGACACAATGTCACTTAATCTCTGCAACAACTCTGTGAGATAAGTGTGGTATCTGCGTCATCCTCACTTGGAGAAAACAGAGGTCAGAGAGGTCGAGTGACCTGCCCACATTCACAGGGCTGGTGGGTGGTCAAGGAGGGAAGTGATCAGGTCAGCCTCACATAGACCCCGCACCCTTAACCACGGCTCATCTTCCTTCTAATGAGACTTGTCTTCCCAGGGATTTGCTACTGAGAGTGGATGTACCAGGTAGGTGTGCCTTAGTCAGCTCGGGCTATGATAACAACCTATCATGTTTGTGGCTTAAATAACAAACATTTATTTCCCACAGCTCTGGAGGCAGGGGAGTCCAAGATGAGGGTGGGTTCTGGCGAGAGCAGAGCCTTCTTCCTGTTTTGCAGATGGCTGTCTTCTTGCTGTGTCCTTACACGGTGCAGACAGAGGGAGAACAAGCTCTCCGGTCTCTTCTTATAAGGGCACTAATCCCTTAGGGGCCCCCCCCATGACCTCATCTAAACTCTAACTCCACTTCTTAGTACCATGACAGGAGTCAGAGTTTTAACACATGAATTTTGGGAGGACACAGTCAGTCCACAGCAGTGGGGCACATGAGCCTTCTAACCACCATAAAGAAAGTCTTACCGAGGCAAAGCAAAACTCCCCCAGGTAATGTCCCCAACTCCTGGGACACTTATAGACTTGGGCCAGCTATCTTTCTCTTTGGGCCATGTGACGCCATTCTTACCAATTTTTCCATCTACAACCTAGTAAATATTGAATAAATCGCTTGTAATGAAATAAATAAATTAATAAAATAGCCTCTCAGAAAATTCCCCTGGCCCCTGTGAATCTGGGAACTGGGGCTTCTAGGGTGGGAGGGGAGTTACTTGAGTAATGTTTTTGACCAGGCTGTTCATGCTATGGAGTCACACTCGCCTCAGCTCCGTCCCAGCAGTCCCCAAAGGGCACACAACTGCATCTCTGCCATGGACGCAACACACCTAGAGGGTCTGTTCCAGAGCCTCTTAGTTCTGTCTGTCCCCTTCTTTTTGCAGAGCATACATTCAAGATGTGTGTTGTGGACTGAATGAGATCCCCCTCAAATTCAGATGTTGAAGCCCTAACCCCCAAGTGTGATTGTATTTAGAGATAAGGCCTTTCAAAGCCATTTAAGGATGAAGGAAGTTATAAGGGTGGAGCCCTAATCTGATAGGATTAGTGTCCTTATAAGAAGAAACACGGGAAAGTGCTTCCCCTCGCCCACTCCCCCCGCCAGCTACCCCCCCCCACCCCACCCCCAGGAAACAGGGAGAACGTGTCTGTCTACAAGCCAGGAAGCGGCTCTCAATAGAAACCAATAATGCCGGCACCTTGATCTTGGACTTCCAGCCTCCAGAATTGTGAGAAATAAATGTCTGATACTTAAACCACGCAGTCTGTGGTATTTTGTTATGGCAGCTGAGCTGACAAAAACAATGTGCCAAAACAAGCCCAGATGTGCCAACCACCAGCCAGCCGTGAACATTACACAATCAACTCACAGAGCGTTGTGGACACACTTTAAGACAGAGGGATCACGGCCAGGTGGGGAATAGGGAATGTGGGAATTTTACATGAAGGGGAGTATGAGGTCCCCTCAGCACCCCTTTTCTCCTTCTCTCCCGGTAGGGTCCAACGCAGGACTGTACACTTAGAGTTATCTGGTAGGAGTTTGCCAGCTCACTAAGATCCACTATCCTGCCCTCCTTTTCCCCTAACGCCCATGCCATTCTGGGCACCACTTTTCATTAGGTTTTAGGTTTTAGACAGTGATTAATTTCCGGCTAGGAAGAGCCTCAATTAGATGCTGGTTGAACATATTCTGATCCCAAACATAGTGGGATCAGAATAATTAGGATGACAACAGAAACCTGGATTCCGGGGCTGTGGACACCAAGGACGAGGTGCAGCCTCAGTCTCTCGGGACACCAGAGGAACATGTCCCCAACACGCGTTACCAAGCAGCACACTTTCTGTTCAGCAGTCACCAACGAGGGGCCCCATGGGTGAAGGAGAACAGTGTGCTCAGGACCGAACGTGCATCCAATGCTCTGGCCCATGCTGTGTCTCCCAGGCCTGGCCCTCCGGCTGGGTCAGGATGCTCAGAGTTCCCAGTCACTGCCTAATGAGAACAATATCATCTGGCACATCCTCCACCTCCGGGGACTCGACTGCTTTGCAGAGAAGTCGACCAGTAGCCACAGTGAGGCTGGGAGGTCTGTCTGGGGCTGCAGCAAGGGCAGGCCTGAGATGGGGAGATGCAGTCAGGGGCCAGGGTCTGTCCTCTCTTTCGAGCCATGAGGACTCTGTATGCAATGACTCTTTAAACTCACCACTACTCAACATGCCTCCTTCATGCCCAGGGAGCTGCTAATCCCTTACATTTTAATTGGGCTTTTCTCCCTGTGAGCCAAGAGCTCATGTTCTTGGCCCAGTTCTCTCTGAGTTCTAAGTCTGCCCTCTTGACTCTGGACCCACCACCACCCCAAGCTCCTCTCCATGT